GTTGAGTTCTTCTGTATCTTTGTTGAGTTTTTTTTAGTTGTTGAATCTGTCCCTCCTTGAAAGTGGTGTGTTAAAGTCTCCTACTACTATTGCAGAGTCATCTGTTTTCCAGTTTAATCCAATTAATACTTGCTTCATGTATTTTGGTGCACTTTCATTGGGTGCAAAGATATTTTTTATCATAATGTCTTCTTGGTCAAGTGACCCTTTCAGCATCCTATAGTGTCCTTCTTTGTCTCTTATGTTATTTTTCACCTTAAAGTCTATTTTATCAATAATTAATATTGCAACTCCTGATCTTTTTTGGTTACCATTGACTTGGTATATTTTTTTCCACCCCTTAACTCTTAATTTGTTTTTATCTTTGAGTCTAAGGTGGGTCTCTTGTAGGCAGCATATCGATGGGTCTTCTTTCCATATCCAGTCTCCCACTCTCTTTCTCTTGATTGGTGCATTTAGTCCATTTATATTGAGTGTAATTAGTGATAGGTATGAATTGATTGCTGTCATTTTATTGTGTTTTTTGATCATGTTGTTGGAGTTTCCTTTGTCCATACACTTTTCTGTGCTGAGCTCATTTTGTTGTCAAGGGTTTCTTCTCTTTTCTTCTTTATTGTTGATTTTGTGTTCACTGGACCCATATGTTTTCCTTCCTTCTGGATTTGCTTAGGGGGATTGTTTATTTTCTCTGTGGTTACCTTGGGGTGAATTCTTGTCTCTATATTTTTGGAACAGTCTGTCTTATGAGGACATTGTCCTGTTTTCCTCTCCATTAGGAAGTTTGTACCTAGAACTTTTTTTTTTTTTTTTAATTGTGATTTGGGTGAAAATTTACAGAGTAAATTCACTTTCCATACAGCATTTCACATACACTTTGTCTCATGACATTGACTGCAATTTACCACAATGCAACAGCTCCCCTCCTACTTCCTCCCGATAGTTACATCTTCCCTGTGTCCATCCCTGCATGCACTCCTGCTGCCTGAGCTATCTCCCTGTGCATAAGCAGCCCTTCTTTCTCCTGTGATTGTTCTCTCCAAGCAGTGTATCTACCTCAGGTAAATGTTCAACACATGTGCCTGTCTATTGCTTGGCTGGAAGCCACAGGCATGGGTTCAATTCCAACCTGAAGGGCAGCTAGGTGCCATAGTCTCAGTGGTTCTGCCAGGCTCAGTCAGACCAGCAAACCTGTCCCCTCCCCCCCTTTTTTTTCTCCAAATGATTTTGAGTTTGTTCCACATTGTTCTCCCTCTCTATCCAGGATCTCCTACATAGATCCCCTTCCAAGTGGTTGACAGTAGTAGCCAGGCACCATCTAGTTATGGTCTCATAGTCATATAGGCTGCAGATCGGATGGTGTACCAGTTGCTAGGACTAATTGTTTCCACGAATGTTTTGTTTTTCTTCATTCTTTGCTCTGGATGAGGAATGACCCATTATTGCATCTAGATGGCAGCTTGCTAGCTTTTAAGATCCCAGTCGCTACTCACCAGAGTAGGAGGTGGAACAATGTTTTGTGTAGTATGTTATGCCAATTGAGCTTGATGTCCTCTGCAACTATGGTCCCGAGCCCACAGGTTCAACCACTCAGTCCCTCTGGGTAACTGGCTGTGACCAAGCAGTGACTACAACATTGCCCCTTGTCAGCTCTACTATACACCTGGAAATTCAGATCATACACATAAACTTATAGGACCATTGTCTGCCAACCCTGTACATGTTCTTGGGTACCCTTCCCACTTCAAAGGCATACCTATAGTTCAGACTGTCCACCCATCTATCCACCTGTATACCCATGTTTGCCTTCACTGACAGTGCAGTACTGTATGTGCAGAAAGGTTCATCTTTGTTGTCTGTACCTCCCACGGATCTATGTCTTTCTCTTCCTCGGTGCCACTATATCGATCGCTCACATTTGGTACATTGCCCTTCTTTTCACCCAAATCAATACTTACCTCTGTCTATCTAACAGTGTTCCCCCCCCTTCCCTCCCACCCCTGGTAACTAATGAAGAAAATGTCCTTCCATAGATAAACGTTTCCTTGACTTTTACAATAATGGACTAATACAATATTTGTCCTTTTGTGATTGACTTATTTCACTCAGCATGATGTCCTCCAGATTCATCCACATTATGAGGTGTTTTGCAGATTCTACATTATTCTTTAGCATTGCATAGTTTTCCATTGTGTTATCCATTCCTCAGTTGATGGACACCTTGTACCTAGAACTTTTATTCTCCGTTTGATTCGTTACTGTTGTCATGTGCAGATTGACTTTCTTGATTTTTACAATGTTTTATGGGCTTATTTTGAGCATCTACTTCTGATTGGGTTTTAGTGTTGATGTCGTGTTGGTTTTGTTGTTCTCTGTTGTGGTTTCTTTACTGGAATAACTTCCTTAAGTATTTCTTGTAAGGTTGGTGTGGTTTTCACAAAATCCCTTAATTTCTGTTTGTCTGAGAATATCTTGATTTCACCCTCATATTTGATGGACAGTTTGGCTGGCTACAGGATTCTTGGTTGGAAGGTCTTTACCTTCAGTGTTTTATATATGCCATCCTATTGCCTTCTTGCCAGCAAGAAGTCTGTGTCTGCTGAGTAATCAGAGCTCAGGTTGGTTGATTATTATAAGTAATATTTCTTTTGTTCCAGTCAACTTGAAGATTCTTTCTTTGTCTTTGGTTTTGGAAAGTTTGGTTATGATATGCCTCAGTATTTTTCTCTTGGGATCTGTCCTTTATTGGGTTCTTTGTACTTCTTAAACAAATATCTTTTCTTCCTTCATGATATGGGGGAAGTTTTCTGTTAGTAAGTCTTCCACAGTTTTCTCAGTCGTTTTTTATTTTTCGCCTCTTCTGGTTCTTGAATTCCAATGAGGCATATGTTGTTTCTTTTCATGTTGTCCCACTCATTTTTCTTCATACAGCCTGGTGTCTAGGGTTTTATCTTGTAGTTGGGAAATGCATTTTTCAGCCAGTTCTGTCCTACTCTTTTGTGCTTCCACTGTGATTTGTAATTCTGTGATTTTGGTATTCACCTTCTGGATTTCTAACTGCTGTTTTTTTTTTTTTTTTTTAATGAGTTCTGATTGTGTATTAATTTTGCTATTTTGTTCTTGAATAGATTTCCTGAGGCCTTCTGGGGTACTGTCTGTGTTCTCCTTGATTCTGTTTGTGGTTTCCTTAAGCTCTTGTAGAATTCTATAAATTTACCTTCTAAATTCTTTCTTGGATAATTCTATTGCCTCTTCTTCCTTCATGTTTAATGAGACTTTTGTTTGGGATTTTACTTTTATTGTCTTATCTTT